CGGGGCGCCACCGCCGCTGCTGCTGCTGTCCCGGTCGGCCGAGCGCCGGTCGTCGGAGGGCCGGCGCTCGCGGTGCGCCCAGTGGTCGTCCTGCCCCTGGCCCTGCTGCTTGCTCTCGCGCCGGTTCTCCTTGCCGCCGGCCCGCTCCCGCTCCCTCTTCGCCGCCTCGCTCGACGACCGCCCGCGCTCCCGCGACCGCTCCTTGTCGTCCCTCGATCGCGTCCGCTCTTTCTCCTCTTTGCTCCTGTCCTTCTGTTTCTCTTTGTCGCTCTTCTCCTCTTTGGATCTTTCCTCCCGCTGCTTGTCCTTTTCGGATCTGTCTTCCGATTTCGTTCTGTCGCCTTTCTCGTCCCTGGATTTATCCCTCGAGCGATCCTCTTTCTTGGATTCTCGCTTCTCAGCCCTATCGTCTCTCTCTTTGCTTTCGGCCTTGCTTTTACTTTTGGAGTCTCTGCTCGAGGACTTGTCGTTCGAGCTTTTAGCGTCGTGCTTCGACGAATCCTTGCTGCTGTCAGATTTTTCGTCTCTTGCCTTTTCTTCGTTCTTATTTTTCTCGTGCTTGCTTTTCTCAGGATGTCTGGAGGGTTTTTCTTTGTTAGATTTATCTTTATCTTTCTTGGGTTCACTCTTATCTTTATTTTTCTTATCTTCAGTTTCATCCTTTGTTCTTTCTGACGTCCCTTTCTTCGCTTTTTCCTTACTACTATCTCTGTCACTTCGCTTATTCTTTTCGTCAACTTTCGATTTGTCGTCCTTCTTGTCTTTTGCTTTATCGTCATGCCTTGATCGACCTCTTTCTTGCTTTCCGTCGTGCCGGGACCTCTCCCGACTGCTGTCTCTCTCGCTCTTCTCATGTTTTGCTTTATCCTTATTAAGATCTTTCTTGTTTTTATCATCAGATTTTGATTTTTCTTTATCCTTCTCGTCTCTCTGCTTATCCTTGACACTTTCTTTCTCGGAACTTCTGATTTTTTCTTTACTGGTTTCTTTGCCCTTGTCATCGTGTCGTTTGTCTTTAATCACATCCTTTTCAGACCTTTCCTTCACAGCTTCTTTATCATCCGTTTTGTTTTTGTCTTTAGAATGTTCTTTATTCTTATCCTCACTCTGGGATTTCTTCGAAGTCTCTTTATCAGACTTTTCCTCGCTCTTCGTTTTGTCTTTACTACTGTCACGAATTCCTTTATCCTTAGGCCTTTCTGTTTTGTCGTCGGTTTTCAACTTTTCTCTGGCGGCCTCGACATCGTCATGCTTGGCGCAATCTTCGAGGGCGTCCTTGTCTTTGGTCTTGTCGCCGTCGTCCGCGGCGTCGGCCTTGCTCTTGCCGTCCCTCTTGGAGGGCTTGGGCGCCTTGTCCTTGTCTTTGTCCCTACCTTCGCTGCGCCTGGAGTCGCGGCTGTCGGTGCTGGTGCTCGCGCTGGCGTTGCTGCGCTTCCTGGCCTCCTTGCGCTCGCGCTCCTTCTCCCTGTCCCTCTCGCGCTCCTCGCCCTCCGCTCCCGCTACTCCGTCGCCCTCGGGGGGCGCGTCGTCGGGCGCGCACAAGGGCCCGTCGTCGGCGGTGGCGGCGGGCGGGGAAGCGGGGGTGGGGGTGGAGGCGGGCAGGGGTAGGCCGGGGTGCTGGCGCGGGGCAGGAGTGCGGGCTGGGGACGGAGGCGAAGGGGGGCGCCGCCTGCTACGCCTGCCGCCTCATGGTGCGGGCGAGGGGGCGGTGGGCTGCGTGGGCGGGGGCCTGTGCAGGTGGGGGGCGGAGGCTCGGTGGGCGGTGGGGGCGGAGGGGTGTGGCGCGCGGCGGAGGGCGGGGCTCCGCCTGCGTCAGAGGCCGTGGCTGTCGTCGTTCTGGCAGGTCCAATGTCGGGAGTGGTGAGCGGTGAGGAGCGGCGTAGGTCCTGGTCGTCGAGAAGACAAATGGAGAGGGGCTGCCGGAGGGACCTTGGACAGCTTGTGTCCTGGCTGGCGAGGTCGAGGAGCGTGACGGGGCGGGCGGGGCGGGGGTTCGCCAGTGCGGGGAGCGGGGGCGGGGCCGCCGGCGCGGGTCCGGGACTTGGCGCCGCTCCGCGGCCGAAGGCAGACCGGTCGGAGGCTGACTGCCGTGGCTGGTG